GATATTGATAAGTTAGTGTCCAAAGAATGACTAGATTGATGAAGAGTTTCTAAATCATGTTATATAGGGAACAGCTGAAGGAACCAGGTATCTTAAGAGAAGAGAAGATTTAGGCAGGTTATGATAGGTGGCTTCGAAGATTTGAATAGCTCTCATGTGGAAGAAGGATTAGACTTGTTCTGCCTGTTCCCATAACTTAGAACTAAGAAATGTTGACTTAGGTTCAATGTAAAGGAAGGCTGACTTTTAGCAATTAGTACTATCCAAAAATTGAATGGGCTGCTCTTACAGATGAATTATTTTTCCAAGTTCTACCAGCATCCCTGACCATAGTACTCCTTTCCATGATTCCTTGCTGTCAATGACATAGGCCATCAGAGTCACAAACATCAGCTTTAAAACATAACAGCCTATCCCTTCATCCTTGCGAAAAAGCTGAAAGAGGCCCATTGAAAGAGCCAAAAGAGATACCGTTCATGATATTAGGTCCCATCCTTTTCATCAGTTGTGCTGGTGGATATTCTGCATCTCTTGCAGTGGCTCACTCAGGGCCTGCATGAGGGTTCCAAGAAACAATCCTTTTAAATAAAATATATTCAAATACTCTTGGGTATAAGCAGTTCCTTAGGTATTAAAAGCAATCAACAAGGAGGTCCCCTTGGGTCTCAGAAACCCCCCCAACAGTCCTAAAATCTGCTTTTATACTCTTCTTGCACACAGGGTCCACAGCTGGGTCACAGATCAAACCACCTGGAAGCCAGTTTAACCCATACTGTCACACATTTCACCACAACCTCTTTGCTCAGTAGTCCTAGTCCAGTGGGAGTATGTGTCGGTGTGTGGGGTTGTTAACTCACACTTCTATTCTTGTTTCCATATAGAATGACAATTCCAATGTTTTCTCATTTTAGAGTGAGGAAACTGAGACCCAGAGAGGTTAAATGACTTGCTCAATAAATTCCAAAATAGGGTTTAAAATCTAGTCCTTTGTCTCTAGAGACAGAACTATCTGCAGATATTCGAATATTTGAAGGCCACTGTTATGTTACCTGTGTTCTTTTCAGGCCAGACATCTCCAGTTGATGCATACAGTCATAGAAGCTAAGAGCTAGAAGGGACCTGAGAAGCCTTAGAAGGGGAAGGGGAAGGGAACAAACATTTATTAAGTGCCCTATGTATGCAAGGCACTGTACTAAGCACTTGACAAGAATTATCTCATTTGATCTTTACGACACCACTGAGAAGAAAATGCTAGTTTTACATTTGAGTAAACCGAGGCTAACAGAGGTTAAGTGACTTGCCCAGGGTCGCCAGTAAGTATCCGAGACCAATTTGAATTCAGGTCTGCCTGACAACTTGGAATCCAACTTTCCCCCCCAGGTAACGAATTCCACTTTCACATAGTTCTGATTATTGGGGGAAATTTTTTTTTACACAAGTCTAAATCTACTTCTCTACATTTTATATTTGTTGTTCCTAGTTGTGCTCTTTGGGGCTAAGCAGAACAAGGTTTTTCCTTTTCCACATGACAACACTTCAGATACCTGAAGATGTCTATTCTGTTCCCTTCTACAATTTTTTTTCTTCTGGTTAAACATCATTAGTTCCTTCCATTAATTTTCATACGACATGTTCTCCAGTCTTCTCACCATCACGATTTCTCTCTTGTGGACATGCTTCAACTTGTTAATGTCCTTCCTAAAATGTGATCCACAGAACTGAAAATAGAACCCTGCCATGAAACATTTTCAACAGAACTATTACCTCACTTACTCAAGACTTCTCTTATTGAACCCTGGAACAGCAGTAACTTTTTTATCTTCAGTATCACACTCTTTATTCATATTGAGCTAGAAGTCCAATAAAACCCCCAGATCACTACTTTATAGTTTTGTGACTCTGTATATGTTAACAGTGTAAAGAACAAATAGCTTTGTACCTCCAGCTGTGATGAAGTGAAGAGTACATTGGATTTGGAGTCAGAGAACTTTTGTTTGAGTTTAGTTTCTGCTGCTTGCTGTAACTTTTGGGTGCCTCAGTTTGGACTTGATGACCTCTGTAGTCACTTCTCATTCCAGATCTATGGTCCTATAATACATGTTTTACAGGAACTATTTTCTATGACTTCATCTAAGTCATTGTCAAAATATTTAACAAAACAGGACCAAAGACAAATCTTTGAAGCGTTTGACTAGCGACCTCCAATCAATGTGACAATGTCCCTTTAAAAGATTAGGGTTTGAATCTGGTCATTCAACTAGTTCCATATCCACCTAACTAATGCAAATCTTACCCACAAGCATAACACAAGAGACTTAGTGAAGTGTTTTACTGAAAGATAAATATATTATTTTTACATTTCCTTCATATATCTCTCTTGATGCCAGTACCTTCCCTATTTTGATTACCTTCTATTTATCATCTGTCTGTCTCTGTCTGTCTGTCTATGTATCAGTCTATCTGTCCATGCATCCATCTCTCTCTATCTTATTTGTACATAGTTGTTTGTGTGTTTCTCTCCCATTAGACAGTAAAGTTGTTGAGAGCCAGAACTCTTTTGCTTTCTTTGTATCTCCAGCATTTAGCACAGTACCTGGCACATAATAGATGCTTGATACATGCTAATTGACTGACTGACTAACTGATATATCAGTCAGTCTGGCATGAACTCTGATTGTATATAGTAACTAAGGATTCCTTTTCTAAGTACTCCAAAACATCCCCTACCTAATGTGTTCTACCATTTTTCCAGGAGAAGTTAAGCTTACTGCTCTATAGCTCACAAATGGTACCCTCTTCTATTTTGTAAAAATTGGAGCAGTATTTTCCTTTGTCCTTATTCTCCAGGGTCTTTCAGAGGTTACCAGTAACACCTCAGGAATGACAAATTCACCCTCTCAAAATTATAGCTGCAATTGACATAGTTTTGATCACATTTTAGTCATACGTTTCAATAAACTCATTTTGTACCCCTTAGCTTCACAGAATATCATGTTTAGAAGACAAGGCAAAGCAGCTGGAGGAAAGAAGGGCTGCTAGTGGAGTCCTAGTGATTAAAAAAGAAGCTAAAAGTACAGATTCCAGACCTCACAGGGATACTTTATTCATCTTTCTAGACCTCACTCAAGGGCTTCTTTCAGCATTGTCTGGTAGTCAATTACTAATCTGCTTAGCTAATTAAATATGTAAAGCTGTAATTCTTTTATTTTATCTTTTTGGAGACATTGATAAAAAATTACAAAATCTTACTCATCCTCTTGAACTTGTAGTGTAGAGAAACCTTTCATACCTAGGTCATTTTTAAGCTAAAAAACAAATATTAATCAGCAGTTCAGTTGTGTCCAACTCCACATGAACCTGTGGACTTTGTCCATTGGCTTTTCTTGGCAAAGATACTGGAATGGTTTGCTATTTCTTTCTCCAGTGTGTCCCCATTTTATAGATGAGCAACTGAGGCAAATAGGGGTTAAGTGACTTGCCTGGGGTCACACAGCTAGTATCTGAGGCCATATTTGAACTCAGATCTTCCTAACTCCAGGCCCAATGCTTTATCCATGGTACCACCGAGCTATCCAGTACTAATCAGTAAGAACTTAGATTTAGAGAAAGCATCACGAAACAACTCTCTAAAATTATTCATATTTCAAGTTTCTTCTTAACTTACTGACATTTTTTGTTTGCAAAGTGAAAAAATAATTGGTAAGGGATAAAACTATTTTGAGAGTTAAACCCAATCTATTTTGTATGAAACAGTAACAAAGAAAATGTGAAAATTTGCTTTGGAATGCTTTCAGAATTGATGCTTAGAATCTTGTATTACTTGTAGTGGTAGTTAACTACTCTGAAGGTACAATAACAGATTATTGTTCATATCAGTGTATTAAAATGAAACTCCCTGATCATATTTTTTCATTTTACACATTGTCAGAACCTTGGACCCTAATCTCTTTCTTTGATTGATAGTAGCGGCCAGGAAAAGAACACTTCTATTGTTTGTGATAGTGGCATCTGTTCAACTTGATTCATTTGAGGGTATTTGCATATTCTTAAGTATTTCTTCTGAGAGGGCCTAAATCCTTCTCAAGTGTTTGATGCATTTTTGAAATTCATTCATAAGGTATCTACATGCACTAATAGTTCTGTATAATATTGCTATGCATAATCTTGACAGATAAGGCTAGTTTTTTAAAACAAGGTATTCTTTGGGGATGTCACATTACATTCTGACTTATTCTGCTGGGCAGAAATGTCAACTACTTTGGAAAAGGATGCTCAGATATTTTCATTAAATTAGTATTCCTCATTTGGGACAAGTTTGTCAACCACAATAAATGTACACATTTTATTAAAAATAATTCAGAAGTGTAGTATCAGCTTTTTTACATCTTGAGTTACAAATTTAAGTAGTTCTTTACATTTTTGTTAAAGTATGAGATGTAGTAATGTAGTATATTGTGTATAAATTGTTTTAATTATTAAAAACTTGCCATGACTCCACAATGAAATAAATATTGATGCTGACGTTTTTTCCTCCTAATGTTTAATATTTGCACTGGAAGCTTTTGAAAGCTAAATCAAAACGCTACCACTTTTATTTCAAAACTTAACTGTTGATAACTTTTCAGAAACAAACAACAGGGTTATATCTAGTCTAAATCATTATCTTTTCCTTTTCCTGTACTCTTAGTCTTTTCTTTCCCAGCCTTCCTCTTGATCCTCCATACTCTTCCCTTTGGGATCCTTGCTGTCTGCGATTTTATACTTGTTTCATTTGGAGATCAGAATTGTGGCCATACCTAGAGCTTAATCAGAAATGGAACTTGGGACACGGCAATAATTTAGCCAACACCCTTTTTAAGTTACTATTGTATAGGACTTTGCTAAAAGAACAGCGTTTCCAACTTCTGCTTGGTTTAAGTAAGATAAAGTTTGTCAAAAAATTGTTCTTTTTGGCTGCTAATTAAATAAGATAAAATTGCATTACTATGTTTATCTTTCAGGAATCTCCATCAGGACGTAGAAAAGCACTTGCTACTAGCAGCATCAATATGAAACAGTATGCAAGTCCTATGCCTACACAGACAGATGTCAAGTTAAAATTCAAGCCATTGTCTAAAAAAGTTGTATCTGCTACTCTCCAGTTCTCTTTATCTTGCATTTTTCTCCGTGAAGGAAAAGCCACGTAAGTTATTTTTATATTAGATATTGTGCTTTAAATTTTCTTTTGAAGGAAGGACTGGGTAGTGGATTGTTTTATACTAGATGAGAACATCCTTCACCATACCATTCATTCTTATCATACTTTGAGAATCTGAATGAAAGAGGGCGGAGCTAAGATGGCAGAGTAAAAGCAGTGACTTGCTTGAACTCTCCCTCAAACCCCTCCAAATACCAAAAAATGGCTTCAAACAAACTCTAGAGCAGCAGAACCCACAAAAAGACAAGAGTGATGAAACAAATTTCCAGCCCAAGACAACTTGGATGGTTGATTGGAAGGGTCTATTGTGCCAGGCTGGGAAAGGAATGCAGTTCAGTGTGGGCACTCAGGCAAAGACCAGGCCTCAGTGAACTTGGAGCAGGCCTCAGGGGACTGAATCATGGGCAGCTGTGGCGGTTTCCAGACTTCTCAACCCACAAATGCCAAAGACAACTTAGAAGGTCAGTAGGAAAAGTCTGTGACCACAGTGAGAGAGAGGCTTGGTCCCAGCCCCAGTCCTGGTACAGCCCTGGGGCCGTGGCAGCTTCTGGAACTTTCCGCCCACAGACTGAGGGGGAATCTAGTGGCTGATCAGAGGGGGTTGCAGAGATCTTTTTGCTGGTGCTGAGGCAGGATTCTCTTACTTTGCCTGTACTTGGTGAATCTGGGTCACAGTTCTGGGTGGTGGTCGTGGGGTGAGGAGGAGCGCTGGCTTGGTGGAGCTTATAGTGGCTAGGGAGAGGAAATTCTCCTCACAGTTCCAAGGCAGAAAAGAGTGCTTGGGTCACTCATAGACCAGAGTAAGGCCAGGAAAGGAGTAAACACCTCGTCCTTGATTGTACCACCTTGGAAGAATGGAAAATTTACAGGTCCCTAGAAGTATCTCTGAAAACAGCTGCACAAAACCCCCAAAGCTTGGGATTGTACATTCTCCACACTGGAAGCAGATCCCTATGTTAACAAAAAAGTTTATAACTCAAGTAATTGGCTGGGATCATGAGCAAACTGTGCAAAAAAAGTCAGACTATAGAATCTTTCTTTGGTGACAAAGAAAATCAAAACATACAACCAGAAGAAGACAACAAAGTCAAAACTCCTACATCCAAAACCTCCAAAAAAAAAATGAATTGTTCCCAGGCTATGGAAGAGCTAAAAAAGGATTTTGAGAAGCAAGTAAGAGAAGTAGAGGAAAAATTGGGAAGAGAAATGAGAGTGATGCAAGAAAATCATGAAAAACAAGTCTACAGCTTGCTAAAGGAGACCCAAAAAAATACTGAAGAAAATAACACCTTAAAAAATAGACTAACTCAAATGGCAAAAGAGGTCCAAAAAGCCAGTGAGGAGAAGAATGCCTTAAAATGCAGAATTAGCCAAATGGAAAAGGAAGTACAAAAGCTCACTGAAGAAAATACTTCCTTAAAAGTTAGAATGGAGCAGTTGGAAGCTAATGACTTTATGAGAAATCAAGACATTGTGTAAAACAAAACCAAAAGAAAGAAAAAATAGAAGACAATATGAAATATCTCATTGGGAAAACAACTGACCTGGAAAATAGATCCAGGAGAGAGAATTTAAAAATTATTGGACTGTCTGAAAGCCATGATCAAAAACAGAGCCTAGACATCATCTTTCAAGCAATTATCAAGGAAAACTGCCCTGATATTCTAGAACCAGAGGGCAATATAGAAACTGAAAGAGAATCTGAATGAAATAAGTTTTTTGTTATAATTATAGTCACTTATTTCAAGAAAATGAGCAATAATACAAAAGTGAATATAAGTGGCATTAAATTTAAAAATTCACATTGTAAAGTCGTTTGTGTTCTGTTGCCTTCAGGATTAAGTAGTCAGTCATTTTGTCATTCTGAAATATAGATTATTTAAGTTTGGTTAGCTATTCGAATCATCTTTTGTAAGAGGCCATTCCCAGCCTTCTCAGCTGCTAGTGCCATCCCCATTCAGATTACCTTCCATCTATTTTGTATGTACCTAGTTATTTACATACATTCTTTTTTTCCACTTTTTTTATTAATTTATTTTGCTTTATCAACAATCACTTCTCTAAGCTTTTGAGTTTTAAATTTTTCTTCCCCTCCCTCCCCAAGATGGCACGCAATCTGCACATATATATATCACACATACATATACATTCCTATTAAACATATTTTCACATTAGTGATGTTGTAAGTAAGAATTAAAACCAATAGGAGGAACCACCAGAAAGAGGAAACAAAACAAAAAGAAGAAAAAAAATAGCAAATAGTATGCTTCGATCTGCATTCAAACTCCATAGTTCTTTGGATGAGGATAGCACTTTTTATCATGAGGCCCAGGCCTTTGGAGATGTCTTAGATCCTTGTATTGCTGAGAAGGGTAAATCTGTCAGTGTTAGTCATTGCATAATGTGGCTGTTTCTGTGTGCAACGTTCTCCTGGTTCTGCTCACTTCACTCAGCATCAGACCATACAAGTCTTTCCAGGATTTACATACATTCTTCCCCATCAGAATGTATCTTTCTTGAAGAGAGGAACTGTTTTTTGCCTTTTAATCTCTAACACTTAGCAGAGTGCCTAGCACAGAATAAGTGCTTAATAAATTCTTGTTGACTGACTGTTATGAAAAAGCCTTATGTAAAAAAAGCTTATGGATTAAAATAAGGGATGCATAAGAGAAGAACTTTTAATAGTTTTTTACTCTTGACTGAATTTTCCTAGAATTTTGTAATTAGTCAACAAGCATTTATTAAGTGCTTGCCATGTACCAGACACCATGCTAAAAGGTGGGGATACATTAAAAGATGATAGAAGCCACAGAAATGGATTGATTGATGCATAGTAAATAAATAAATTGTTCATATCATTGCTATCCTAAAATATTATTTAAGCAACTAATTGTATGTGGTTCCATAACATTGTACAGTTTTATAGAACTGCCTCTAGGAGATTGAAATTTAAGACAGGCAAAGTAACATGGACACACACACCTAGAACACATAGATGACAGAAAAAGAACATTGAAGATAGTTATATATATATGTGTATATTATATATAGGATAACAGTACATATATTTTAGGATTAAAGGTTATTTATATAAGGTTAATTATATAACTGGGGTGAGAGAAGAAGGAAAGTAAGAATGAATTTTCTAACTGTACTTGAAAAAGCAAGAAGAAAAATACCACTATTTTTCAAAGCAGATTCACATCGCATAATGTATTGAGTACAGTGGAAGTGAGAATAGTTAACTGTTTATATTACTGCCTACACCTGAATTTCAAATTCATCACATTTTGATATTTGATACCAATTTACATAGCAACAAATTATTCAATTAAAAGCAACAAATGAAGATAGTTGACAGTAGTGATGCCCTCTTCAGGAAAGTTTAGAGGTAGTTTAAGGAAATGAAATGATAGCCTAGAGAGGTACAATTGGGGAATCCTTAGTGATCCATCCTAGAATACCAAGTCAGAGACCCAAACTAATTTTTCATCTGGTTCCACTACTTTGAAACTTCTCTGACTTCTCCACCACGCCCCAGGACTTTCATGATTGGGCTAAACCTCATCATCCTGTAACCTCATTAACTTTGATAACTCTACTTAATTACTGCCTGTGCCTCACTGATAGGAGGGTAGGGCTGTGAGCTCCAAATCAGACAAATCAGACATATCTTCTTTTGTCATCTGGCAGCACTACTTTGGGACTTTTTAACCATGCACTTGATTCAGGTGCATTTTCCCCATCCCCTGCTTTTCAGCTTCATTTTGTGTTTTATCTTCCCATATTAGATTGTACCCTCCTTGATAGCAGGGACTGTCTTTCTTTTTTGGTATTTGTATCCCAAGTGCTTAGCACAATAGCACAATGCCTGTCATATGCTGTTGTCTTCATGACCCAATTTGTGGTGTTCTTGGCAAAGATAATGGAATGGTTTGCCATTTCCTTCTCCAACTCATTTTATAGATGAGGAAACTGAGGCAAATAAGGTTAAATGCTTTGTCCAGGGTCACACAGTTAGTAAATGTCTGAAGCTAGATTTGAACTCTGAAAGATGTCTTCCTGACTCCAGGCCTAGAACTCTTATCTACTGAGCCACCTACCTGCCTATCATAATAGTAGATGCTTAATAAATATTTATTGACAATTATTGACTCAGAGGTTTTATGAGTAAGAACATTATTGAGTAAGAACCCAAAATTGCAAGTGAAAACAATAAAAGCAAAAGAAAGCAAATCCAAGAAGTGATGACAACATTAATGGAAAACCCTTTTTATTGAAATGTCTTTGTTGCTACAGAAAGTGCAGACTAGTCAATAGTATGTTCAGGAGCCTAGATGAGAGAAAATTCAGTCAAATCAGATGACCTGTCCTAATGAACCTGGAATTACTTTCAGTTGAAAAAATAAACACATTTAGCAGCTCCTTCCTACTCCTCACATACATTCACTTTCAGAATGTTCAAGTAGCATGGTAATTTTCATTTATAAGCAAAAGTTATTTACCTATAGATGGAGTGTATGAAATAAGTCCGAAAATGGAATCAGAAGGCCCTCCATGGGTAATGTCCACATGAATTCAGTCAGGAATATGTTAAGGAAGGAAGGAAAGAAGGAAGGAAAGAAAGCAAGCTGAGTCATGTAGTTTTTTGGGGAAAAGAGTGGTTTAGGATGGCAATTTAGGACCAGGTTTTGCTACCAGGAATTAAAGAAGGTACCCACTCAGTAATCAATGTTGATGATACAGGGAAACAGTAGAATCTACAGTGTATCACTAAAGGCCATAAATATTTAACCACTATTAGATACCTAGCAAAACATGAACTGCTGGCTAGAATTATGCATCAGAAGCTAGCCACAGGTGTCCTTCTAAGTCCTTGGGTGTGGCTTTTTGACTGAGTCTAAGTTTTACAGAACAAATTCTTTTATTAAAGGGATGTATTCTGTGAAGTTTGGATTCATATGGCCTTGAGGGCACAGGAACTCCACCCCTGACCTATACCATGAAAAGACAACTCATGGATTGGTAAAAGAGGCACAAAAAACTTAAGAAAATAACACCTTAAAAAACAAAATCAGCAAAATGGAAGAAATGCAAAAATTCACTGATGAAAATAGCTACTAAAAAGCAGAATTGGCCAAATGGGAAAAGAGGTACAAAAGCTCACCAAAGAAAATAATTTCTTAAAGATTAGAATGGACAAGTAGAAGCTAATGATTCCATGAGACATCAAGAAACAATAAAGCAAAATCAAAATAATGAAAAATTAGAAGAAAATGTAAGATATCTCATTGGAAAAACAGCTGACCTGGAAAATAGATCTAGCAGAGATAATTTAAGAATTATTGGACTACCTGAAAGCTGTAATCAAAGAAGTCTAGACATTATATTTCAAGGAATTATCAAGGAAAACTGCCCTGATATCCTAGAACCAGAGGGTAAAATAAAAATTGAAAGAATCCACTGATCACCACATGATAGAAGTCCCAAAATGAAAACTCCCAGGAATATTATAGCCAAATTTCAGGGTTCCTAAATCACAGAGAAAATATTTAATTCAGCCAGAAAGAAACCATTCAGATATCATAATGCCACAATCAGGATCACCCAAGATTTAGTGGCTACCATGTTAAAAGAGTAGAGGTTTTGGAATATGATATAGATTGACATCTCAAAATGTATACCAAAATAAGGTCAAAATGGATAAATGGTTTAGACATAAAAATAGATATCATAAGAAAATTAGGGGAGCATGGAAAAATGTATGTGTCAGATCTATGGATAAGGGAAGAGTTTATGACCAAACAAGAGATAATAGAGGATTAAAGGAAATAAAATGGATACTTTTATTTTCATGGAATTAAGAAGCTTTTGCACAAACAAAATTAGTGTAGCCAAAATTATCAGGGAAATAGGAAACTGGGAGAAATTTTTCAGGGCAGATTTCTCTGATAAAGGCTTCATTTCTCAAATATACAAGGAACTGAGCCAACTTTATGAAAACAAGAGCCATTCTTCAGTTGATAAAATGGTCAAAGGAATATGAGCAGGCAGTTTTTAGAAGAAATCAAAGCTATCAATAGTGACTTGAAAAAAAGCCCTAAATCATTAATAATTAGAGAAATGCAAATTAGAACAACTCTGAGATACTACTTCACTCTTGTTAGATTAGCTAACATTCAAAAAAATGACAAATGCTGGTAGTGATGAGGAAAAATTGGGATACTAATGCACTGCTGGAGTTGTGAACTAGTCCAGCCATTCTGGAGACCAATTTGGAACTACACCCAAAAGGCTAAAAAACTGTATCTTTTTTGACCCAGTAATATCACTACTAAGTCTGTATCCCATAGAGATCAAAGAAAAGGGGGAAATTATTTGTTCAGAAATACAAAATATTTCTATTTTGTGTAATATGCAATATATTATATATGCATATATAATATTTGTATAATATATTTGTACAAAAAATATTTATAGCAGCTCTTTTTTTGTGGTAACAGAATTGGAAATCAAAGGGATGCCCATCAATTGGGGAATGGCTGAACAAGTTGTGGTATGTGATTGTGATGGAACACTATTATGCTATATGAAATGATGAGCAGGATGCTTTCAGGAAACCTGGGAAGTTTTGTATGAATTCATGTAAAATGCTGTGAGCTGAACTAGGAAAACTGTACATCATAAAGGCAGGATTGTAAGGATGATCAACTGTGAAAGACTTAGCTCCTCCATTCAAGACAACAACCCAAGACAGTTCCACAGGATACATGATGAAAAATGCTCTCCACCTCCAGAGAAAGAACTGATGAACTCTGAATGCAGATGGAAGCATACTTTTTTAACTTGATTTTTCTTGTGTGTGTGTTTTCTTTTGCAACATTGCTAATATGAAGATATGTTTTCCATGACTGCACATGTATTATCTGTATCAAATTGTTTGCATTCTCAAGGAGGATGGAGGGGCAGAAGGGAAGGAGAGAATTTGGAACTCAAAGCTTTTAAATTTTTTTTTAAACATGTAATTGGGAAATATTTAATGAAATACATAAAAATATATTTTGAAAAGAACAATGTTTTTCAAAGGTGTTTCTATACCAAATTTTTATAATCTCCAGCCTATATGGAAGAAAAAGCTTATCAAATATAGAGATCTAGGCGAGGCAATCAAAAGCATGTGAAAACAGATGAGGAGCATGTCAGTCAAATCAGTCAGTTTGTTTTTTAAATTATTTTTAGAGTCAGAAAACCTGAGTTTCAATTCCAGGTCTGCTTATTAATTTTGGCAAATCTAATAGTATTTTTTTTTTGCCTATTTTACCCAGCTGTTAATTCTCTTTTCATTATTTTATTTAATCACCCCCATTTATTTTCCCAATTTTTCCTCTGCCACTCTTACTTGATTTTGAAAATAAATTTTTAGCACTTACAGGAATTCTTTTTGGGGTTTTGTCCAATTCACATTTTTTCTTTGAGGCTTTCTTTGTAGCTGTTTTGACTTTATTGTCTTCTTCTGAGTTTGTGCCTTGATCTTCCTTGTCACTACAGTAGCTTTTTATTGTCAGGTTCTTTTTGTTTTTAAATGTTTGCTCACTTTTCCAGCCTATTTCTTGACTTTGAATTTTATGTTAAAGTTGAACTCTGGTCATCTGGGGAAAAGGGGGGTGCTATTTCAAACTTAAGGCTTTTTGGTGCTGCTTTTTGCACAATTAGTTCTGGTGTGTTTGTAAATTTTCAGTGCTTCCAAAGTAGTGTGATCAGGGAAGAGGTATGGTTACTGCTCTCCTTGTCTGTACACTGGTCCTTAATTAGGAAGGGCCCCTGATCCCTGGCAGCTGCAAGCACTCTTTTTCCTCGGGGCCCCTGCTCCCTTGCAGCCACAGGTGCTATTGCTCCTCAGGGCCTCTGCTTCCTTGTGATCACAAGTGTTACCCTCCACAGTGGAACTACAGCTCAGAAGTGGATATGGGCAGTGGAGTGATCAAATAGTGCTCAGTCCTGTGCCCAGTACTAGCACACTTGTTCCTTATATTCTTTTTTCTGACCAGTTGTTCAATCTCCTTGCTGTCTGTAGGCTGAAAACTCCCCACAGTACTGTGGCTGCTATTGCTACCACCTCCGAGGCCCACAGCTAGTATTGCCAACATGTGTGCTCCAAGCCAACCCCTACCCCAGTGTCACAGACCTCTCTTTTTCACCTCCTAACTTATCTTGGCTTTGAAAAGTGTCACTCCAGAATTTAATTTGGGGCATTATTTTAAAGTTTTGTGTTTTTTTTGTTTTTTTCTTGAGAGAAACATTGACAGAACTGGGCTGTATAGTGCTTCCTCTACTTAGCCATCTTGGCTCTTCCTCCAGTAACATGGTCATGTAAGAATTATGTCAGGAAACCAAAACCTAAAATGAGCTTATGGGCATGATGAATGCTAAGGACAACCAAAAATGGTTTTAGCTATATTAGTTGTAAGAGGAAAAAAAATAACTTGATAAGACTGTTACTTAGGATGTATGGGATGCTAATAACAGTCAGTGGTGAGTAATCTGAACTCTTATTTTGCTTCTTTTTTTTGTCTCAAAAGAAATAATCTTTTGATTTGGGGAATAATATTAATGACATACTTCTCAAATTTGCAGGTGATAGCTTGGCTTTACATACTAGAAAACAGATTCTGGATCCAGAAATACCTCACCATGCTAAAATGTTGGGCCATATAGAATATGATGAAGTTTAATAGGCATAACTGTAAATTCCTACACTTGGATTCAAAAACAGTTTCATAAATATAGCTAAGGAGAGGTCAAGCTACCCAACAGTTACTGTGAAATAAATCTAGGGATCATAGCATACCATAAGCTCAATATGTTCTGCAGTATCACGTGACAACCCCCCAAATTAATGTGATCTTGGACACCATTTAGGGAAACACAGTGTCCTGAATAAGGGAAATCATTCTTCTGCTATAAATGTACACTGGTCATGCCATATTTGGAGTACTGTATTCAGTTCTGGGGACTATGTTTTAGGAAAACATACTTTAGCTAGAAAACATCCACAAAGAGAGGACCAGAATGGTGAGAGGACTAGAGAATATTGCCACATGAGAATCAGTGGGATGAATTGACAGTGCTTCAGACTGGAGTACAGAAGATGTAGAGGGAGAGGACCTGACAGCTGTTCCAGGTATTGAAAGGCTGTTATGTGGAAGAGGAAATAGACTTGTTCTACTTAGCTCTATGGGCAGAACTTGGATATTATAGAGTGTTAGATTTTGATGTGATAGAAAAGGAAACTAGAGAGTAGAATGGGTTGCAGAGCTCGTGTATTGTCCTAGACTGGAGTCCTTCCAGCAGACCCAGTATGAACACAGGGGAGATTCATGGTTTTCTTCAGTCAGGTACAGATTGCCCTAGTTGTCCTTTAAGGTCAATTTTCTGCTTTTAGATTCCATAAGGAAATACTGTTCAGGTCTGTTCTTTTTAATTTGTTTATGAAGTGAAATTTTAAAGTTAATTTGATTTTTGCCATGGCACTTTGCTGTCCTTCTTAACAGTGATTAATTAGCCCTGTATTTTATGGACAAAAGTAGTGAAAGATGTTTGTTTGATAAGAACACGATATGAATACCATTACCATTTGATGACATAAACTGTATTTTGAATGATTGGTTTAGGGATGAAGACATGCAAAGTTTGGCCAGTTTGATGAGTATGAAGCAGGCTGACATTGGCAATTTAGATGACTTTGAAGAGGACAATGAAGATGATGAAGAAAACAGAGTGAACCAAGAGGAAAAGGCTGCAAAAATTACAGGTTGGCCTTGTCATATCTTAGCACAAAGTTTCTTTTCTTTTTTTTTTTTCTTTTTGGCCAGGGTTGGGGGAGGAGGGAAGTGGTGGGATGGTGAGGATCATGGAACTTTTATTCTGGTTTCTCAGAAAACCATTTGACTCAGTAGATAAGTTTTTCGATAGTTTTTCTTTATCATAGCCTTTCCAAAGAGGAAACTTTATGTCGCCTTTATGCATACTGTCGAGGCTTCTGAAGACGCATTGCTTGCTATAGTTTTATAGCTTTGCAATAATTTAAGATAAAATCTGAGTAGGTAAAAATATGAAAACTTACCTGAAACTATTAATTCATTACTTCTTATGGCAATGTGTGGATGGATTTTTACGCAATAACATAATTCCCATTGATTACCAGTCTGCCCTAAGACATGACAGAGAAGGTGACAAAAATAGATAAGTGTCGACCTCTCTTAGTTTATGCTCATTTATTGCAGTTTTGAATTTATTTAATAAAGAACCAGGCAGTTCATCAGTTTACATGTTTGGCATGTTTGGCAGCATCTGAGAGCTCCTATGCAGCTGGCCTCTCAAGCTTCATCAATTAAAAAACTTCTCATAAGACACTAAACAATTAGAACTGTTTTTTTTTAAACATAGTAACTAAATGATTATATCTATATCCACCTCTGTATCTATGTCTACAATATCTACATCACTATATCTATGTATATATAGATCTAGACTTAGAGAGAGAGGTCAAGCTCTGTGTGTGTGTGTGTATGAGAGAGAATAGAAAAATCAGATTTAAAGAAACAGTATTTTGCAACCTTATTACCTTGAGAAAAATCAAGGACTTTTTGTGAGAGCTGATCATGAAAGTATCTCCACGTACTTCTTTTAGCTAGTGAATTGTACAAGAAAGCTGGAGAAATGGCATACCATTTCTTTTCTCAACTTCTTCCATAAATTATTTCCCCACTAGTCTGTCTCACGTTTATTTCCTTTTGCTTTGATCTCCTGTTATACATATTTTGTTTATGACTGTTTAATGCTACATCTATTGCTATATTTTGTTTTAGACTGTTTTTGTTGTGCAGATCTTGTTTCCCTTACTAACTAAGATTTAAATTCGTTGAGGGCAGGAAAACTATCTTTTATTTCTTGGGTATTTCCCATGATGCCTGGTTCATATAGTAGGTTATATGACTAAGTTAGTCCTTTATAAGCTAACATATTGAGTTATAGGTTTTGAGAATTGGAAAGGCCTCAGAGGTCAAGAGGGCACTCAAAGTCTTGTTGACTCTCCTTAGAAAGGATAACATAGATTATTAGTATAATATGTTACCCTTCTAATATTGTTGCTAGTAACAGTACTGTGATCATGTAGAAAGATATATGTAAAAATATTCCTAATGTTTAAAAGAATTCTGACAATGTATTTTATTTACATAAAATTATATTAAGGATTTCTTTATGTCAGTATTTTCTCTAGAAAAACGACTATAACAGAGATAAAGGTCCTTCTGGTATTCTTCATCTTTAAAAAAAATTTATTATTAAAAATTAAACATAAGGTCATAGATCTAGAGCTATGAAGGGACCTTACTAATCAGCTGTGTTAATTCTCTCATTTTATAGGTAAGGAAACTGAGGCCCAGATAAATTAAGTAACTTACCCAAGGTCATATAAGTAGTAAGTAACAGGGCTAAGACCAGAATGCAGACCTGAATATGATATGATTTTAAAAATTAAACCATTGAGAAACAGGTAAAAAGGGTAATTATCTTATGCAAATGAGGTGTGAAAGGAAGAACTGACATAGAAGAATTAGATGGGGGAGGAGGGCTGGTAGTTCTCAACTCTGCCTTCATCGGGAATGGGTTAAAGAGGGATCTAAAAGGGTATAAAAGTCTTTTAAATTCAGAGAGAAATGAAAGGCTAAGGGAATGGGGGGGAGACAATAAGGAAGGGAATTTAGGGTAGGGGGAGAGGATAAGGGAGGGATTTTTAGAGGCAAAGATGAGGGAATTAGGATAAGGGGAGGGTGATAGAAGGATATTTAGATTAACAGGAATGGGAAGATAAGGGAGGGATACTTGGGGGGGTAGGTTAAGTAATAGGAGGGCAAGGTAGTGGATAGAAGTAAAGTAGAGGAGTCAGGAGAGATAGGAAATAAGAGATATACACAAACACAAAATAAAGATCAGGAGTAGAATTTATTAGAAAAAACAGGGGTAGTAATTGTGATCTCAGACAAAGTTAAGGCTAAAATAGATTTAATCATAAGAGAAAAATAGGGAAACTACACTGTATGTCAGCCATATTAATCAATATTAAATGGTTTTAGGCTGTTTAAAATAACTAGACAGTATAAGGTTGGAATGTTGTGGTACAGGAAATGATAAGTTGGTAGACTTAGAAAAATATGGAAAGACTTGAACATAAGAAAGAATGGGTTATCCACCCTCAGAAATAGAGGACAAATAAGTACAGTAGGGTCTTACATAGATTCATATAAATGTATATTTCTATGTATGATTATGATTATATATAAATATATGTAAGTGTATATATGTATGTGTATATGCATGCATATATCTTCGTGTATGTGTGTGTGTGTGTGTGTGTGTGTGTGTGTGTGTGTGTGTGTCCATGTGTCCATGCTCAGTTGTACCTTCTGAGGGGAAGAGAGGGAGGAGGAAAAAAGAACAAAGTGAAGAGTGCACAGCAGAGAGCAAAAGAAAACTTACAAGGAAGCAAAGAAAAGATGGACAGCTCTGAACACATTGTGTAGTATTACACAGGCTTTCTTTTTTTTTCTTTTTTTTTTTTTTAGGCAGTTGGGGTTAAGTGATTTGCCCAGGGTCACACAGCTAGTGAGTGTCAAGTGTTTGGTCTGAGGCCGGATTTGAACTCAGCTCCTTCTGACTTCAGGGCCGGTGCTCTATCCACTGCACCACCGAGCTGCCCTCATAAGCTTTCTTGAAATGGAAATTTATTGCTGTATATTTTGAATCCTCTCGTGTTTGGCTGTGCACATGACAGTGTTTTTTTTTCTCTTCTTAATTTGTATATTAGTTTTAATTTTAGGTTAATAATATGTTTCTTTTTCTTATTGTATATTCAAATTTTTGTATTTAAAATAATTTTTAAAAAAAGAAAACTAATTTTCTAGCAGCCAGTCAGTTAGTAAGCATTAAGTGCCTACTGTGTACTAGGCATTAGGGATACATAGAAATTAATCAGTCCCTGCCATCAAGCATCTTGCATTCTATTGAGGGAAATAGTGTGAATCTGTATAAGTTTATGCAAAATATATACGATAAATTTTCAGGTAAGTAACAGCTAAGGAGTTCAAAAGAGCCTTCTTAAAGGAAGTGGTGGTTGAACTGGGCTTTGAAGGAAACCAGGTATTCTAAGAAGCAGATGTGAGGAGAAAGCTTATTTCAGCTATAGGGTACAGCTTGTGTAAGGCATAGAGAGAAAGATGGAATGTTGTATGTGAAGAATAGACAGAAGGGCAGGTTGGCCATATTGTGGAATTCAGGAAGGGAAATTATAAGTCTGGAAGAGTAGGTTGGAATGAGGTTGTGAAAGTCTTTAAGTACCAAATATAAGAATTTGTATTTGATCCAATAATAATAGGGAGCCTCTGGAGCTTATTGAGTAAGGGAATGACGAGATCTATGATTTAGGAATATCACTTTGGTTATCTGTGTGAATTGGAGAAGGAAGAGACTTGCTTGCAGTCCCTTCTCACAGTGTAGTTCTATGCATAGCTACGTTTATATAGCTAAAAAATGAGGAAGTACTCAATCTTGTCCAGGCTGCACTTTGGAATCTCTCTACCATGACTCAGGAACCTCTTTATTCTATAAGATCACTCTAGTCTTCAATTCACATACTGGAAGCCCCTGTGCCCTCTCCTTCTGATTTTATGGCTTTTCTCAATCCCTCCTTTAAGGAGAACATTCTAGCCAGCAATTTCTCATTTCTGTCTGCAGGATACACTCCAGACTTTTCCACTGTGTTCCTTCTCTAGGTATTTTCATTCCCATTTTAGCTTCCCTTTATGAGTTGTCTTCTCCCATTAGAATGTAAGCTTCTTGAGGTCAAGGATTGTTCTTTCTCCTTGTATTTGTGTTCCCAGCATTTAGCACAGTGCCTGACACATGATACCCACTTAATAAATGTTGACTAACTGACAAATATCAGGCTCTCAGTTTGTGGACCTTTCTCAAGATCTTATGTCTGATTCAGTTCAACAATTCAACAAGCATTTTATTAAACACCCAGAGCCTGGGTACACAAAGAAAAAAACTGAAACACGAGGCTGCATTCTTACCAATAAATCTTAGATCTGCCTTTGACACCCACTAGCTATGATCACTGGCAAGTAACTGAGCCTCTTCTGTAAAATAATACCAGGAGTCCCTATTTTATATGCTTATTTTGAGGCCTAAATGAAATAATACATGTAAAAGTCTGAAAAATGTAAAGCATTATGTGCATGTCACTTAGGAAAGTCTTCTGCAATATATGTGGCAAATCATCATTCATTCTCTTTAACCATTCTCTGTGATGAGAAACTAAGTAGCTTACAGGGCAGTCTTTTCATTTTTGAGCAGTCAAAATTGTTAGAAAGTTCTTCCTTTATTTAGAGAGATTCTATGTCATTTCCTCTGTTCCTCATTCTGCTACATAAACTATCTGACTCTTCTCCCACATGACCATCTGTGGCTCCATAGCCTGAACTTAAGAGACTAAAACTTTATACCATTTTTCTCTTCTACCCTCAAGCTTGGAACTTGGCTGATTGACCACCTCTACTGATTTGTACTTCTCAGTACCTCCTCTATCTGAACTAGTTACCTCAGCGCTCAGGTAAACAGGCAAAAGAAGAGGACTTAGACTTTTGTACCCCACTTCTCCCTCCTGAAAAGAGCATGCCCACCATTCCTTAAAGGTATTTTAATGAATCTTACTGCAAAGGTTTATAAAAGAGCATTTGAAGGAATTATAATAATGAAATAATCCTCATATCCAACAGTAGGTATATCAGTATAACAGAATACTACTGTAAAACTAAGAAACATAGCTAATAAAAAGAAATTTGGAAAGTGATATAAGTGATATGAAAGAAGTGATGTGAAGTAAGAAAGCAAGACCATAAGAACAGTAGTCCAACTGACAAATTATTATATTTCAGTACATCAGTTAATCTATGAGATCTCACCAAAGTGATTACTCCCGCTAATAGTACAGATCAGTATGCATGCATGACGTGTCATCTCATGTTGTGCTAATCAATCATAAAAGTACCTGCTGTGTGCAAAGCACCAGGTTGGTGCTAGGCTTACCATAACAACAACAACAACAACAACAACAACAACAACGAAAAATGGTCCCTGTTTTTCAAGAGCTTACATTCTATCAGGGAAGACAGTGTGTGAACACAGAAATTTGCACAAAACTATACAAAGTGATCGCATAGAAGGGGTGGCAGCAGAAGCTTGAGGAGATCAAGAAAGGCCTAATATAAGATGTATTTGAACTAAAGTTGGACTGAAACTAGGGTTCAAAGAGGTAGAGGAAAAAAGGGAGTTAATTCCAAACATGGGCAATAGCCTGTGCAGAGGCATGGAGGTGGGGGATGGAATGCCATGTCCAGTCAACAGGCATTTATTCAGCACCTTCTTGGTGGTTAGGCATTGAAGATGAAAATGCAATGTGGATGGAAGAGCGAATGAAAGGGAGCAATGTGTAATAAGTCTCGAAAAGTAGATTGGAAACAGTTTGTGAAGGACTTTAATAGTAAAGAGACTTTGATATTTTATGCTAGAGGTAATGGGGAAACCATTAGAGTTTATTGAGCAAGGAAATGACGTTATTAGACTTTATTAGGTATTTTAGGAATATCAGTTTGGCTGTATGTGAAGGATGGATAAGACAGCCTTGAAGCAGAGAGACCAATTAGGAGCCTTTTACTCTGGTCTAGGTGAGAGGAGATGAGGACCTGAACTAGGCTGGTGGCCATGTGACTGTGGAGAAAAGGTCAAATGTAAGAAGTGTTGTGGAGATAGAATCAGTAAGAACTGACAACTGATTGGATGCATAGGGTAAAGGAGAGTGAATGAGAAGTCAGAGATGATTTCATGAAGGCAGTCCAGAATGACTGGAAAGGTAGTGAGGTCCGCAACAGAAATACGGAAATATGGAACATAGTAGAGTTTGGGGAAAAGATACTGGGTTTTGTTTTGTCCCTGTTCAGTTTGAAATGTCCAAAAACCACATGTCTCTTTTTTTCCCCATGAAATCTTTATGAAGTATTTATCAAAGATGTTTGAAATTTTCTGCTAAAAGATTTTAAGTTTTCCTAGGTGTCAAATAGTGCTTAAGATGTCTTACTTTTCTCTCACTACATGATTCACCCAACTCTCTTTTAGGTCATGTATTTCCTTGATGAATATGCTTTATACCACTTCTTCACCACCCCACTCTCTCAAATTCTCATTATTTATAAAAATTTATTTTAAAAAATTATTTATTTTTAATTCATGTTTGTACTATCATTTGCTTTTACCTTGCATTCATTTCCTAATATGTCTCTTTCCCTCCATAAGGAATTGACTCATAACAAAAGATTTTAAAAAATAACAAACAAATCAACAAAATTAACCAACACATCATGTAGGTCTGACATTTTACCAAGTGTCCCATACCCAAAGTCCCTCACCTTTACAAAGAGAGAGGGAGAATGCGTATTGTCATATCTGTTGTTCAGTGTTAAGCCTAATCATTATTGCACAGTATTGATATTCAGAGTTTTTTGTTATTTTTATTCTTTCCATTTGCATCATTGTATTCATTGTATAGTTATCCATTCCACATCATGACTTTCCCCATCATGGTTTTGACATATTGTGGATCGGCATAAGAAATTAAATAGGAATTTTGAGGGAGTTTTGCGGAAGCCTCAGATGACATACAAAGGGCAGCAGACAACACAGAAAAAGTTTTGAAACTCAGAAATGCATAAAATATATGTATAGTATTGTATAATATTGACATTTTATCATTTAATAACACAATAATTCAGTCTTCTTCTGTGGTACCAAAGAAGGGCCAAAAAATTTTATGTGGATTTTCCAGATCATGGGGGTGCCACACCCCTAACCCCTGTGATGTAGAAGGGATAACTATGCATTGTTTTTCTGTATTCTGTTTAGTTTACTTTGCATCAGTTCATAAAAGGCTTCCTGTAGTTAAAATACAGTTGGAAATGAAAAACTTTCCTAGCACATTAAGAAGAAAATGTGTTAACTTTTCCTTAATAAAATTGTATAAGAAATAAATAGTTATTGAAATATATTTTTTGTCTGACCCATCTTAAGACCTATTTTTGCCTCTGACCCATCTCTTTGAGCCAGCTAGGAATCTCAGAGCAATCCCTAATCATAGGTAGGTATATTTGGCTTGTTTTCCCTTAAGTAAAATATTACTCTTTCTTCTCTTGGTAGTTAATATCTCAGCCTAACTTGGGTAGGCCTATTCAATATGGTTCTAACTAGTCTCATTTATCGCAAAGCTATGTTTTATTGGTTGTTTTTCAGTTAGCTATGAGAATTGGCTTTCTCTTCCAGTTTAAAAGCTCACCCCTTCTTCCGTGCCAGCTCTCTCTTCCCTCAAACTTCCTGCCAATTTCTGGTTTCCAGGCTAAGAGTGCATGATTCTGTCCTATGTTTCTTCTGTTATGCCTTTGCTTAAATAAGACTGACATTGGAAGTGTGATTTCATACCTTCCTCCCCATCAAGAACTTCCTGTACTTTGTGTGGATACCTAATTTAGTTTAGCTCATTGTAGCTTACGATTCCTAAGCTCAAGAGATGCTCTAGCCTCAGTGTTCCCCAGGAACAGAGATTTTAGGAATAAACTACCATGCCCAGGAGATGTAGAACTCTCTACTTTTTCATTGGATACTAGAGCATTAGAATATTATCTAGAGCCCTAAAGATTCCCAAACTTATTTGGCCTGTTGCCTCCTTTAAAAAAATAACTCAGAAATCTACTGTCTTTAACCATTTAATGTGTTTTTTTTTAATTTGCATCATTTTGAACTACTACTGCCCCCCTCCCTTGGTCATTCCAGCACCCCCCAGGGGGTGGTATCACCCACTTCGGGAACCTATTCTAGACTATGTCACAGAATACTTTATTTTTTAATACTGGTTTATGAAATCTCTTTTCATATACATATCTTTCCATTGTAATAAAATATTTGATAAAGCTGTATCTTGTTATTCACTTGCATACACAAATCATAAGTTAATCTTCAGTTATTTTAAATAATTGTGTATGACTCTGAGCAAATTGCTTAACCTGTTTGCCGTAGTTTCCTCATTTATAAAATAGGGATACTAAGAGCACTTATCTCACAGGGTTGTTGTGAGGATCAAATGAAATAATAATTGTAAAGCCCTTAGCTCAGTGCCTGCCACAGAGTGAATGCTATGTGAGTGTTAGCTATTAGTATTATTGAAATATTTATTTACTAGTGGGTTTTTTTCCATCTTAATAGTCATATGGTTGAATAATTTTCTCAGTACCTAAGTTACTCCTAAGTTACTCCTAATTTGTAATTTAAGCAACTCTGGAACCTGATGTCCTATCGTAATTGATATTCCTTTAAAAGGTGCTTAATTTGTAACCAGAAAAGCTAGTCTTTTAAGCTTGTAGGACAACCTTGTAAGTAACCTTAAAAACTCAGGAGGTGTACATTCTATTTGGTCCCTCAAATTTATTCTATCCACATTTAGAGGGATTCTGCCCACCTGTCCCCTTTAAAAAAAAATGCCAGGTCAGTAAGCTTAGAGGTTACATCCTTTAAGCAATACATTGTTTTCTTAACAGAAATTTCCTTGAAAAATTAAGGAAAACAGGAATATAAACTATAAGCTGCTTTTCTGATTTTTTTAGTTCAGTCTTGATTTTTCAAAATATCCTGGGATATCAGTCTATGCTAATTTACATAATTGATTTAGAAATTATCTTAGAAAATTTAGTTTTAATTCAGAATAATATTTTATGCTGTGTGAAGGTTTATATAAAATTTAAATTTTATTCACAAACACAAAAAGTAGTGACTAATTCAGTTTTAACGTCTTCGATGTTTGTCTTTGTTTGATGTTGTGCTCATTTGCATAGTCTTTATGTTCCCCTAGTGGTTTAATCATACTGTGCCTCTTCTTTTTCAAATTCTGGAACAGCATAATATTCTAATGCATAAGTATATGATAGATCATAGACATAACACTTTAAATGGATTCTCTTGATTAACAAAATGTCTTTTCTCTTTTTCTCTCTCTCTCTCTCTCTTTTTTTTTAAATAACAGCATGCTTCTACTGCTTTTCAATTAAATGACCTTACCTTACATTTGTCTTGACTGGCTTCTGTTTACAGAAATTGTAAACCAGTTGAATGCTCTGAGCAGCTTAGATGAAGATCAAGATGACTGCATAAAGCAAGCAAATATGCCTTCAGCTAAATCAGCCAATTCTTCTGAAGGTCTATGAGCTTACCCCCTTTCTTTCTGTTTCTGATTGCTTGTATTTATTGTGATCTGCTGCTTCTTGACTTATGCCTGTGTTCTGCTGTCAGTGTTGTCTTTGTGCTTTTTCCTTGAATGTTCTGTTTGGTAATTTGTAATGCACCAACAGGAAATAGCATAATAATCCATCACCTTCGTGATAGCCTCATCATGAGATCCTAGTAGATAATGTTTTTTAAATGCCATGAAATTATGTATGCTTGGCCATTTATTTTAACTTAAAGTGTTCCTGAATTATGTCTAATATTGTTGGTATGTTCTTTTAAAATCATTTTCTTATGCTGAATGCCTAAACCAACATTCACGTTTTTTAAGTAAGGAATTTATTCATTCTTTTTAACCTTTTAAACTATTTCAGTATTTATTTATTGTGCCAGCTTAGATTGGAATGAAAACTGGAAGGTACCTTAGGAGATGATTTAGTATAACCCTCTCATTTTATACTTGAGGAAACAAATCCAGAGAAGTGAAATGGCTTGCCCCATGTCATATACAAGTACTAGGCAGAAGCAGAATTGAAACAGGGAAAATCTATCCTATTCATTTATTTTTTTTTAACATGAGAATGTTGGTGTGCTGCAAAATACATGAATTATTTCTGCCATTGGTAAAATACCACACATGCCTTATTGTTTTTCCAGGGACTGTTGGTGTGAATTTTTAGAATTTTAAAATGTTTTTTGTGATCATAGTTTATTCACAAAACTATGCCTTAATGAAGAAATCCTTAAATTTATTTTCAGAACTTATCAACAAGCTTAACTTTTTGGATGAAGGAGAGCAAGAGTTTACCACTTTGAGTTCAAATCCATTTGGTGATCCTGATGTAGCTGAATTAAACCCATTTGGAGATCCTGATTCAGAAGGTAATAAGTTGTTTTTTTTCTTCTTTTTATATCTATATTTTAATATTAAATCACAGGTAAGTTTCTAGGGTCATATCATTGTATATTGTAATGGAGAAAGTATTTACAGTAGCACAGTAATCGTGCATAATTTCTCTTTTAAAAATTTATATATAATGGGACACTACATTTTAGTTATTTATACTTCTGTTTTAGGTCAGTCAACTAGGCAGCAAAATGTTAATGATAGTAGTTGCACTAAGGTAAATGGGGAAATTAGTACTTGCTGTTAGTACCTTTTAGCTCTTTTTGACCCCTCAGGGATTTTAAAAGGAGATTGTAGTTGATGATAGAAACCTGCCATGTTGCAGATTGAGGGATCATTCTTTTAAAATAATATGTCATTCTTTTCTTTCTCTCCCTCTTTCTCCGACCATCCTTATCTCTAAAAATCAATAAAAATGCTTGCCTCCATTGTAATTAAATTTATTCAGTAGAAGGAGAGCTTTAGAAATTAATATGAAGTCTGAATTACAGAACATTTTATAATATAGTTTCAGCATATTATATAATAATCCTGGGAGGAATTGTTGTAAACAGTGGAAAAGGAAACCTTTTGATTTTCATGTCAGCTATTTGTAAATAACTTCTACAGTCCTTGAAAGTGTTTTAAAATGATGTGTGATCCAGTCATTTCAACTTTCCCTTTACCATTCTTGTTTACACTGTTAATTTGTATAACAAACCCTTATCTCAGATACTGATACTGGATAGGTAGATTTCCATATACCTTTTGTCTGGATTGGCACAAATTGCAAGATAAATTACATTTATAGGATATAAATTTTTGTACCCTCAAAGACCATAGAACTAGAAGATAGTTGAGGGGCAAGTAACTCAAATTCAAATCCTGCCTCAGATTCTCACCAGCATGTGAACACTGGCAGCTCAGTTAACCTGGCTCAACCCTATTTATATAGTGGAGAGAATAATAGAACCTGCTTTATTTCAAGAATCAAAGAAATAATATATATGGAGTTTTTTGAAACCTTAAGCATTATATAATAACTGTTGTTGTTATGAACCATAACAATAATAATATAATAAAAACTTGACCTAAGGTCTTACTGATTTCTAATCTTGTTCTAAGATAATTAAGTTATTTTGCTCACAAAGATAGCCCTAATAAGAGATTGTATAGTTTCATCATCTTATTCTACATTTTAGAGAACTGAGGTCCTGTGACATTAAATGACTTGCTCAGTGTCATCCAGCTAATGATGAAAGAAAGGAGACTAGTTCTCTTTAATTCTAATCAGCATGTATTATGTTAGAATAAGGGTTCTTTACTTGCTAGCCCATAGACAGAGTTCAGGGGAACTGAATAGGAGAAAAAATTACATCTCTGTGCTTACTAACCTTTAGTTTTCTCTGTTATCCTTTGCACTTCATTTTATGCATTTAAAAACATTATTCTTATAAGGGGTCCATATGTTTCACCAGTTTTCCATAGGATTCCACAACATGAAAAATGTTAGGAAACCTTTTGATAGACCAGGCTTTCAGTTTGCCTGTTTTATTGTTGAATCATCATATTTAGATCTAGAAGGGAACCTAGAATTCCTCTAATTACATTCCCTTCAATTTACAGTTGTAGAGACTGAGGCCCAGATAGTAAAAATGACTTCCTCCACAAAGTTACAAAGATTATCTTAGTCACTTAAGGATAAGAATAATTTGCCTAAATGTTTTGAATGACACTTGAATTTATTATTCCAGAGTATGACTTACTGTATTAAATCTAAATGATTTTCTAAAATAAAAACAACCATGAACCAAAGTAGAAAGAAAAAAACCATAATCATAACCTTTTATCCTCTTTATATCAACTTAGGAGGCTAATAGTCATAATTCCAGAATGTTAATAAGACTTGTATGCCTAGGAAAGAATATAATAATCAATATTATCTTTTTAGTGAAAGATATTGTTCTCTTTGAGACATAGCTGTTTTCTATTCTTACTAAAATTATCCAATATACTTATGTTCATTTTTTAAATTGTGTGTTACTTTTTTTATTAAGACCTCTCCCTAAATAATAGCACTATATTGGGAAAGAGAAAGCTACCAAAATAGTAATGATAGTTCAATTTGTTTTTACAGTTCTGAATTGACTTAAAAAAAAATATGCCCTTTCTCTTCACTTTGTTTAAAGGCTTTTTATCTACTCATTGACATTTTGCACTTCAGTGGCTCTTTTAAAAACTTATTAGATGTGTTTGTAAGCTTTTGTATGAAATAGTCTTACCTTAAACCCTCTTTTGTTACTGTTATGTCATTTTCCAATCTTGCTTTATGGCTTCAAATGCTTTCTTGCTTTTGGTTTTCCTGAGAGTGGTGATTATGTTTGGATCAATTTTTGCTATTTTCTTCACAAATGTACAAATAAAATCTTATTTCCATTGACTAGCTTTGTCAATTTCTTGTTTGTTTTTCATGACATACACCACAAAGACTTTATTTTTGGTAATCTAAATCAAAGATTAGACATTTGTATTTTACAGAGATATGGTTGTTGCCATTGTATGCTGCTGTGATTAAAGGAAGATATTATGAGTGTGTCTACAAGAATAAGGGCTACATCTTTCCTTTGTGCTTAAAAAGGAAAAAACTACATATTTTTTCTTAAACTTATGCTACAGTTTGTAATTCTTTGCAATGCTAACTAACCTTATAATGATAAATACTTTTTCAAAACTCATAATCAAATTCATTATAATTGGAATCCAGAAAATATTTTAGAGTCAACATAAAGTCAAAAATCAATTTTCTGACCTATGATGTACTAGTATGATGTTTAAAAACTGTTCAGCTTTAAGATGTGTAAGACCCCAGCCCACAATATATCTTAATCAAAAATTAGAACATATGTGTACATAAATGTAATTGGACAGAATTCTCAGAAATGCCAGTTATGTATCAGATGTTTTTCAGAAGGAGAATTTCCAGTACTTGTATTTTTATCTGCTCTTCTCTTATTCTTCAACCTATACCCTTTCTCCTTTACCCCATGTCCCCCAGGACTTTTGTTAAGTGAGGGGCAGAACAGAGTACTGACTGAAGGATTTGCATTGCATTCAGGAGCTCAGTTCTTGTCTCTGAAATATACTGACCTTATGATCATGTGATCCTCTCATATCTCCAGGCAGTTTTCTAGGACTATAAGTTATTAAGTTCCAACTTGCATTAGTGGAAGGAGTTTTCTGTCGAGGAAAGCAAGTATGTTCTGTTGAGGGCAGCAGTATGCAAAGCTGCAGTAGTAGCTAAATAGACAACTAAAGAACTAAGGGATCTGGGGCAGGACACTAGTATGTGTATTTGAAGCTGCACCAGGCTTGCATTAAAGAGGGCAGAAATCCATTTTGGGCCAATTCTGTACCCTAGAAGTCACCTGGGACAAGGATTGACGGAGTCCTGTGAAAAGTGAATTTCCCAGCATGGGAGATAACTGAGACAGCTTTGAGGTATACCCCTCCAGGGATCTACCACCACCACCAAAGAGGAAAGAAGTCAGAAAGTAAGCAATAAGGGAATGGAGGAGGAGGAAAAGACTGAAATTACCAAAGATCTTAAAACAAAGAAAGCTCAGTTTAAAAACATTTAGCAAAGCAGGTAAGTCAACAGGGAAGATAACCTCCAGGACATCTAAATAAGTCCAAACACCCCAAATAAATATTGTGAGACAAAGGAAACTAAGTCAGCACTTGATGAGGCATAGCACCCTATGGATTCCCAAGAGATCATGGAACCACAGGAGAATTTATGGCATGTATTACAGAAACAATTGGCAGGATAGAAAAACTTGAATCCATGGTGTCAAGTCATTCCAAAGAAATGAGGGAGAACAACTAATTGGAGCTAGAAATACACAGAAGCAAGTCTTGGAGAAGAGAAGCAAAAAGCAGTGTTAAAAAAATACACTATGCAAGCAAAACATATTAATCTCAAAGGCGAGATGCATGGAGACAACAGCTTAAGGATCATAGAACACAAAGGACAAGTCAAAAAATGTGAACATTAGAATGCAAGAAATAATAATGCAGAAAACTCCTCGGAACTTCTGAGTACAGGAAACAAAGTGCTAATCAAAAGAATCTATAAATCACCTCCAGAAAAAAAGGGCAAACATTCTGCAAACTCTAACATTTACATTTAACGATTCCAGTGACAGACAACGAATTCTGCAAAGCAACCAAAAGTCTTTCAAACATAAAGGAAAAGAAATTTGAATAACAAACAACTCTTGTGTATGTACCCACCAGAAATCACAGAAGGGAATGGAACAGTGTGTTCTGAAGAGTGAAGGAGCTCAAGATGCAAACCAAAGTGACACTCTTAGCAAACCTGAGTCAGGTCCTCAATGAAAAAAACATAGACATTCGATGTAGGAGTCACTGGAAGCAGTCCCCGCCCTGCCCCCCCCAAAACACCTGATGTGAGCAGAGATGTTGTAAACCCTCCCAAATAGCTGAAACACAAGAAAGGTAAACAAATATAACAATCAAGGAATGAATAACCCTGGGAGTTGGGGGAAGGGAGTTGAAGCAGAAAATAACAACAGAATAACTGCAGAGGGTCTGTTAGGATATTTCTTTATAAAAGTACACAAGGGAATCCAGGGTGAAAGTTGAACTTAAAGGAAGTGATATTAGAGGAACTGGTCTGAGGCACCATAAAATAAACCTTCCAACATCTGTCCTACTAGTGAATCTTTTTTTTTTTTGGTGGATTAAACTGCAGAATGAGAGGGGGCATGTAAAAGGGAAGAGGGAAATGTGTAATGTACCTTAATCAAATCTGGGGTAAACAATGAGGGGAAAATAACTACTGCAGTCTCTCAGCAAGAAGAGGGGCTACGTGAAATTAGGTGGGTTTGCAAAAGGTGGGGGTGGGGGAAGATTAAAACAGTGAACAAAAGGGAAATTCTTAATTTAGTCATGGGAGGGAGTCCTGCTTAAGGAC